TCTTAATCCTCCCAAATTTTCATAATAAAAGGATCATGCGTTAATGAGATATCCAATAACGGGAATAGTGACATCTGTCAGAGACCAGATTCGAGACGAAGGAGTGTCTCCATAACGGAGGGCTTCGGCCTCAGCGACTTCTGCCAAGAGCGCTGTGCCTAGTGACACGTCCGTGCCCTAACTTACTGACTGGCAATTAGAACCTAGGGGGGTAACTCTAGTTGATTTTTCTACTGGGGCGTAACCTATGTACAAGTGGGATATATATATGGTTACAGCGGGGACGGGTCCGCAATTGGCGGAACCAAACGGAGCGGAGCTAACGGGGTTTAACCATTAGCCGACTGAATATTACCGACGAGTCGGTTTGCGGGGTTAGCGGAAAGGCAGGCGATAACCCAGAAACGGAAAGGAGGGATAGGCCCGAAGGTGGGCTCTGCAGGGCAGGCGAGTGTATTGCCCAGCGGAGGTGGGGGTGCGCTAGCGGACGTCGGAGCTGTCCGGAAGTCTTCGGGGCTCCGTACTTAGGGAGGCGTAGGTAATAAATTGAAATGAGGGGGTGGTGACCATCGAGGGGTACCGAGAGGATTGCGGAATATGGGGGCTCCGAGGTTGGTGAGGGAGGAGCGGAGTTGGAACGGAGGGATCGGAGGGACCGGAAGTCGATGGCCGGGAATGGATATGACAACATCAAAAGTCCGAGCTTAGGGAAAAGACGATGTTTGCGTAGGATCCATAGTTAAAACATACAATGAAATTTACACGGAAATTATTAAAAATGGGGAACTATAGTTATGCAAATTTTCAGCCCAAACAGTCCAGCCGTTGTGAAGTTATACCCATGACGGGAATATAGAAATCCGCATCATGTGTAATGACACGTGAGGGTGGCGATGCACAGGGAACCGGCCGTCGGAACCGAGATCCGCACTTCGGCAGATCGCAAAGACCAATTTCCATCCAAATAAGGAAGAGCCCGGTCAACACAAAGCACGGAAAGTGCAAAACAACCTTAAATCATGAGGGAAAAATCTGAAATAAATCACAGAAGCCCATATGAAAGAAATAAACACCCATGCATATCATAAATCCCAAACAATTAAACGGAAACGGCGCCTGCATACGAACGACTATGGGAATGACACACGTGATTACCGAATGTGTGTGCGAACTTTTGCTAACTCAACGAATACCAGGAAATAGGACACAACCTTAGTACCATTGGAAAGGTGGGAATAAATAAAAATTTATGATACCAAGAACGTGAGAAAACATCCAGAAATGAATGAGATATAGGGACATGAAGTTAGAAACCTGAAAACGTGCGGGAAAACAGCTTCAAGAGGTCCAGAGTCCTAAATAAAATACATAAAAATATGAAATCTTCAAGGACGACCTACTATAACAACAAACAATACATATGGAGGATTAGGATGTGATAATACAAAAGGGAATCAGGGAATATGAACGAAATTCACGAAAACCACTAAACTACGATGGACCATGGCGGGAATTTTAGGGAACGATATTCTAATGAGGAGGAGAGCTATAACACATTCGTTTGAGTAATTCTTGATTACTAGCAACTTTTTCTTTCAGTTTTAAACCTGAATAATTCACTCATTTACCATTTCAGTCTCATTTTAACTAAATGTCACTAAATAAAAATGGAATAAATCAGCTGAAGGTCTCAGCACAGCCGTACACATAGTAATGCGAAGTTTGAATTCAGAATCATCGAGTCATAGCAAATTTAATGGTATATATAGGGAATTTGAAATAGGTAACTGCGGCAAATGCAGCGCAGCCAAGTTCCAATTAACCATTAAAATAGCTTAGGTGAGGGAGGACAATAAGAATTCTAGGTGCAGTCTGACCGCAGTAGAACTGCAGTTCAGCGCAGCAAAAGCGCAGTAGAACTATAGCATGAAAATTTCATTTTTATTCAGTTTGAGAAAAATACACTGTAAGTAAATCCTGTAAATAGAAGGTAGAGCGTGAAAAAGGAAGGCGACCCAAGGAGTATAAAAGGGAGACCCTTTCTGCGACTTTTCGCCCCCCTTAGAGAAGTAAGAAAATAGAGTATTATTTTTCTCAAGCATTTCTGGTTGTCACTCCAGTGCGAAAAAGTGATATACAGTTAAGATTGCCACTGTAGTAAAAGGCAGCAATAAAGGAGAGAAATATTAAGTAGATATTTCAACAGGGGAGCTGGTTAACACTCCAGATTTCAAAGTGTAAACACAAAACAGTTATCTTGCTACTGTTAAAACAAGCAATAAAATAAGACAAAAATAAAACAAACCCAAGGGACACTCCAGACACAATCCAAATTCATTAACTGAATAGAATCTTTGAAACTTCACCAAGTAGAAGATTAAATTCAAGTTTAAATCCAAATTAAACAACGCTACACAGAATTACACCTAGACAAATTAATAAATTTCAATAAAGAAACAGCTCCGCAGGGCTCGGTTTATCTGTAAGTCAATTCCCAGGAACTTTAAAACTAACCCATAAAAATAGAATTAGCCAAAACACTCGGATTGGTACTATATTTACAATAAATAACACTAGTACACTTCCCCATCCTAACTAAAGAACCAGGGAACAGCTTGGTGGTGGTCTCGTTTGAACCTCCCAACTGACCTTCCTTCGTTCTCTCCTTCAATGGAGGTAAGGTAGGACTCCAGAGGTGGTTGAGAGGAGGGTCCAGAAGTCGGTTCAGGATCAGGTATGTACGGATATGACAGGCAGATGTCCCTATGAGCTTCTTAGGCTGAGGCAGAAATGGGTTGTTATTAAAATGAAAAGCTAAACTAAACTAAGCTGCTTGCCCAAAGCAGAAATGAGAAGAAGGCTGCTTCTTTGGTTCTGCTTTGGCTCAGTTTATATACAGGTGAAAATGGGTCACATGGGGGTGCCATGTCAGCCTCAGATGGAGCCAAGCTATCATGGGTGGTTCCATGGGTGATCCCAAGTATTAGAAAGGAAAGATACAAGTAGGAATGCATGGCACATCCAGCAGCATGGTACCTGTGTGGGGTGCCTGGCATCAGATGCGTCCATGCTACAGGTGTAAGGAAAGGGGAGTCGTCCATATAAAGAGAGAAAGAAAGAAAGGAGAGAGAGAGGGGGGGCAGCATGGCATGGTGTGCCCTGACACACACCAAAGAAGAGTAACCCCACTCGCTCCCAAGTCATCTCTGACTCCAGAACCACCCCAGTAGAAGTGAGGACAGTTCCAGGTCTTTCCATGAATATTACCCCAGTAACTCCCCCTGCAATCTTTGCAAATATATCTTGGCTTCATGATGCAGTGAAACAACCATCCTTCACCCCTGGAGGGAGTCCAGGTTCAGTTTTTGGACAATCATTGATCATGCACCCCTTATCATTATATGCAATGCCTGCAGATGCATGGGAGGGGGAAATTAATCCATGACTTGACCAGCACTTTGGAGTTTGGGCTATGGGATGGCTGGGGGCTATTCAGAAGTTGGTGAATCAGATTTCAGTCAGTCCTCATGGCCTTGATGGCTTTATAGAAATTCTCCAGTGGTTAGTAGGCAATGGCTACACCATGGATGCTGTGCTTGGGGGGAAAGTGGATAACATAATTCATGCCATCGACTTGTGATTCTTACTATTTAGCTCATTGATGATTGCAGTCATGTTCAAACATAGTGTTGGATCATCTTCACACCCCACATCCCCTTCTTGCACTTCCATTGCAAATTCCAGTCATGATGTGAGACCTGGAGTCAGTGCAGTGGAATGGAATTCTGAAATTGTGGCACCTTCACAGCATCCCAATGCTGGTCCTCCAAGATCTAAAGCCTGTGCCACAGAACCTCTACGTGATAATCTCTCCCCATGCTTCACATCAGTCCTCCAGTCATTTCCTCATATCTTGCTCATTTCTGCATTGAATTCACTGCCCACTCTTCTGATTTTCATCTGAAGTTCTTTCTGTGATGCTGGTGGTATCAAGATCAAAAAAAAAAACATTCACTCATTCAGAGTATGATGTCAGGGTTGTGCATGCTCGCAACAAGGAAGGCCCCAGAAACCTAGTTGATAACAAAGCTGGGGACATGCCCACTCCAGCACAAGGTCTTATGTACACATGTAGAGGTGGTAACTAGGCAACTAACTAGTAACCAGTAGAAGTGGATCAAAGATGATAGAAGATCATGCGGTGTCATAGCCAACAGCTGCAGACTGGATCAAACTGGAGATCGAGAAGTGAAGAAGAAGAACTACGTGGGAATCTGGGCTAAATGGCACCGTGCTACTTACACTGCCACCCAGAAGGCATGCCATGACATATGACCAGTCCAATTCCCAATTATGCAATGCCCTGTCTGTAGATCTTCAACCAGCACATTAATGCCACCTTCATGTAGTTGTGCTAGTCTCCTTGTAAGATTACCTTCCAACTTGAGGATTTATACAGGCCAGGGAGCCTTCAGCTGGGATAAAGGAAGTGCATTGAAGAATGCATATTGCCAGCCAATAAACTCTGGGCAGCTGGCCATCATCTACTGTTTTCACAAGTTGAACATACATAGATTTTTGTGCAGAGCAGTTGTATGTATGTGAGGATATCAAAAATTGCTGATGGAGCCCACCACCTTATGCCACAATGAAATCATCACTGGGCATGGTCTATGCCTAGCAAATGTACTACCAGCTCAGTTACTACAGGGACCCAAAGTAGCACATAAATTTCCACTGATCAGGTGGCAATATATTACAAGCTTTGAACTATACCACACTGGGAATCACTGGTGGCCTTCACACTTGAATCCTGCAATTTGTTGTTCTTTTGTTGTTGCATCATGTGGCTTACACTTCAAGCTCTCACCATCACCATCATCACATCATTAACATCTGATCAGCAAGATCCCTTTTCCAATCTCGCCTTCATAAGTCTGGAGCTATGAGCAGCCTCACCAATCTCAGGCTGCTTCTGGGGGTTGAACAAGTCAACAAACATGGCCATTCCCAAGGCCCTACGACTTCATGCAATAGTGTGTGCTCTTGCTTCTGGAGGCCTATTGGCTTTCCTCAGTGTCCTTGACTTCTTGGCCTTCTCTTCCTTTCTGGAACATCGTAAATTTGGTGTTGAGCACATCAAAACTGCAACACAAATTTTCTCATTTGTGTCACAACTTGTTGTCACAGCTCTCCTTGCATTGCTTTCATATGGAATCCCAGCAATTGCAGTCAATGCTACAATACAGCAATGTGAGTTCTGTGCATTGCTCTGAAGCAGATTTTGATACAATGTTCCAGGTCAGGCACTTCTTGTACTTCATGACAATGTTGAAGCCTGGCGAGGCCTTGGGTCATCACTTTGTGCTGCCTGGCAGAGTAAAAACCACACCTTTCCTGTCCGCCTTCAATTATTTCGTGTTCTCTTGTTTTACAGCTCTATCTTCATGTTCCAAATAGCCACACCCTCTTTATTCTCAATGAAGGTGGTAACCATGAAATGGGGGATACCTGTAACTGTCAACTCCATGCCAGGCAACATCATTTCTCCTTTGGGTTCCTCTATCAATGAGATTCTGCCATTTGGTGTGGTTGATTATCTATACAAGCAGATGGGATACATTGTTGTTGGAGACCTTGTTGGAGTAAATGATACGTATGATGTATCCCTGTTGTTTTTAAGCCACCATTTGCTTAGATTTTCCTCAGAATTCTTTTTGGTACGATGGATCAAAAATTGGAAGGTGTGGAGTTTGAAGATCACACTGCTCTCAACTTGAGTGCAAGATGTGGAATCATTCCTCGTGCTTCTGGTGATTCTTTTAATTTTTCCTACTATCCAGGTATGTTGATTAATGTTCAGATGTCTGATCAATTTTCACCTGTGGTTTTGCAGTGCCAATAGAAGATTATCCAGACTGTGGAACTATAGTATTCCAAGTGTATCCCAAGTTTACTCATCTTCCTGGTACTGCACTGCTCCATAGTGAACCTGTGAACATTGTGGGTTTGATGAATCGAACTTCATCTGCACCACCCCAATTCTGGAGTCAGTGTTTCACTTTGGTATTTGTGTCCTTAATCACATTCTTCTAACATCTAATGAATGTTTGGACCATCAAGTTAATGACACACTTTTAGTTTTGTATCCCCAAGATAATTCAATCAATCAAACCAGTACTTTTGCAATAGCACTTGTGACCACAAAGGATTACACCTTGGGTGATGGAAGGCAAGGCTCCCCTGTGCATCTCACAAAAGAGGTCCAAGTTTATACATCTGTGACAACTGCTAATTTGAGTGTGTCATTCCATTATATGGGTTGTGACATGGTGCTGACTCTTCTCTCTCTCATCAAGGCAAGTCCAATATCACCTTGGAACCCATCAACATAACATTCAATATATGGCCAATTGGATGTGCAATGTACACCCAAAATCTAACAACACGTGTGTCAGGGTCTGACCACAAACTGCTGGAAATCCTGGGTAAACATGGATACAACTCCCAACCAAAGTTCATCAACATGCCTTTTGAGCGCAAGTCAAATCCAGTGAACCAGGTGGAAAAATATTTCGGCTACATGCTGTACAAGGCCTACTACATAGAAAGGCTCTATACAATACATCAACGCCCCCTCCTGCTTCAAATAAATGGTTATGCAGTGCTGAGGGTTATGCAACCTCTGCTGCAGACTGCACTTTTGGCTCTCACCTCAACTTCAATGATCCCCCAGAACCAGTCTTTGAGCCTCTCAGGATTGGAAGCCCAATTCAGCTCATATTCTGCCCTCTTGTATAGTCTTCATATTATGTATTGGCGAAGGGCACTGCTCCATGATCCTGGCATGGTGGATGGAGCTTGGTCACCTATCTACTTCAATACAACTGGAACACACCAGTCTGACCAAGCCATTGCCCAAGTTGCCTATTTCCCACTAATCATTGTCACTACACTCTCTGGGTGCATTATGTTTGTCTCTTTCTTCATCATCTGGGATGCATTCATTGTGATGGGAGCTGTGGTGGAGGATACACAACAGCAGCAGATGATTCATGATGGCAGCCTTCTCAACATGATATCTTTACTTGCTGGGTCTCAGTCCAGCACCAGTGCTGTGCCACATTGCTGCTCTCAGCACAAGGGTCTCTTGGACTATGACTATATAAACAATACTATTATTAAGTGAGTGTGTGAGTTTCACCTGCATATCTCTAGCATGACCTTACTGGGGGCAGGTATTCAGAAGGAGGTCTCTCCCTCCAATCTCAATCCATGTTTGTAAGTGATATCTTTGAATTTCACCCTCCAATGAACTCTGAAAGGCTTTTCACAGCCATCATTAGGAGCTGAAGCTACATATAAACCATTTGATCAAGTTTGGACTCAACCAAACTTGTCCAATGCTGAGCATCTTCGCTCCACTCGTGCAAGGAGTTTGTGGATATTAGGCATGGGAGGGATACTTGTGCTAATTGCTTTCCATGGCTGCCTCATGGTTTTGTCCAGGGCTCATGTTTTGGATCATTTTTATTTCAATATCAGGCACTTGGGGCTGATGAACCAAATTCTACTGACATATGAGGAGGGATTTGTGGTTATGGTGTCTGGATTAATCATTCTGTCTGTCTCATCACTTGCCTGTGATGTCTCACTGAGGGAAAGTATGATGATTTTCCCAAGCCATTTCTTGTGCACTAGACTGACCACACAATCACCCCACCTCTAGAAATGCCCTTAGGAGCATTGCATTACACTCTGAGGGCCTGGCGTCAAGGGCCCTGCTCCCTGGTGCTGGCTCCAACATCAGTCCTTCATCAACTCAATCTAATGTGTGTCGTTGGATTCTTTTTCGGAATCATGATCACACACATTGCCACACCAACTATTGTGACAACAGAAGCATTCAATGCTTCAATCCCAACACATTTTACAGTTGACCGAATCCCAGGTCTCTGGAGTAATCTATCATTCTCTTTGCAGCCCACCAATGACATAGTGGATGTTCTTGAAGCCACTCCATGTGTACTGGGCTACAGTGGATTTGGTGTCAATAATATTCTTGGCTGGAATCAAACGTAAGCCCCTCATCCTTTCATGGAACATCATATAGTAATTTTCACAGTATCCTTTTTGGTACACTCACATCACCAGAATATGAAGGGGGAACCTTCCATGATCCATTTGCAACACAGTACAATGTGTCATGCAATGTAATTCCTCAATCAGAAGAGAATCCATACACTGGTAATTTGTGGCTTGTGGTAAGTGAGATGTATAATGCCTCTTTGTAACTGATTTTTCAGATGCCCAGGATAATGATACCAGCCACTACTCCCTGTCCATGAATTTGACTACTTGTGTTAACCTGTACCCTGGTTCAAGCATGGTGTATACTCGGGGGCCCCAAGGCCTTGATTTTTTGCTTGAACAACCAACAAGTCGAAAAGAGAATGAGTCATCTACCCCAGTCTTCCCTGGTAAGTATGGGTCCAATCACCAGCCAGGACAATTTGCCAAATTCCCTTAGTTCCAGATCTTCTTGCCTTACTTGAGCCCTCTCAATCTCAATCTTCCCATACTGGAGTATTTTCCATGGTTTTCATCTCAGGGAGTCCACATGCCCTTGTAGAGGGTGGAGCACCCCTGTGGGGCTCATATAGTCTAACCATTCAGACACAAATGTGGACATATGTTCAAAATCATAGCATCCATGCTCCAGGCACTTATCATTCCCCTCCAACAGCATCAGATGAACTATACCACTATATCCATGACACAAGAAAACTGGAACCAGTGAATGCCACCATGTACCTTTGGCCTATCATGTGTGCGCTCCACATTCTCAATGGTACAGCTGTGGTGACTTCAAATAAGTTGGAGTCATTCATCCCAGTGGTGGCAGAAATACCTGAACCACCACCAGGCTATGCTCGATCAGGAGAGCCAACTCACATCATTGAAAAGAATTGGAACAGTCTAATATACCCATTACTTGATGTCCTCACATATCACTGGCTAGGTCTCCCCTTGTCAGAGGACCCAATGTATATTGGAGCATATGCTGCCCAACATGGAATGTCCAAACTCAGTAAACAACTTAGTCTGTTCACTGCAGCATATGTAGCAATGCTTGACCGATATTGGCAAATGGAGTATGAAAGTCAGGCTCCAATTGACAGTCTTTCTTGGAAACCTCTTCGAGCCATAGTTTATGGTTCAAAACAAGTGCTATCTGCACGTTTCACTATCCACACCATTCCGCTTTATTTTGGCTGTCTTTCTGCACTCCTTATTGGTGTGTCATCTGCTGTCACATTGCAGAACACTTTCAACAGGAAAGATATTATGACCAAAGAAGCTGGGATACTCCACAGCATTCAGATGCTTCAATGGTCCTCTCTACCCCATCTGCTCAACAAGCATCAATCATTGCCAGAATCAAGTGCAGATGGATGCAGAGTTGGCAGGGACATCCTATCGTTAGATGTTCAGTAAGGATTCCACCTGCTTTTCCAAATATTCATGGACTGATTTACAGGATGAACACCAGATGTAATGGTTTGACACTGGATGTTGTTCATGAAGGGAATGATGCTATTTAGATCCACTCAATGTATGCCTCTATTACTGTACTATTATGACAATAGGTTCATTCCCATGGTTTTTGGGGATTGCCATCTCCTTCTTGCATAATTCATCTGGGAACTAGTTGTCAATACATTCATCTGTTCAAAGTCTCATTGTGACATGTGACTGAACATCAGCAAACTTGGTAGGGAGCTCTCTGAGCTCACAGAGCTCTGTTGAGCAAATTGAGTCTTTTTGCTGTGCACCCTCTATACATTGGGTGGAGAAAATTAAATATATAAATGATTTTGTTTTCCTAAGTGCAAAGATAATATGTATATACATTTTTGGAAATGCATCTTAAATGGCCAGCATCATTACTTGAAAAGCTCTATGAGCTCACTGTGTTATAGAGTGCGCAATTGCCCAGAAGTGGAGGAGGGACTCAGTGACTCAAGTGGAGCACTGTTCCACTGCTTGTTGTCTAAGGTGGTCCTTAATTTCAGGTTAGCAGGGGGAGTCTCTTGGGGGGACGATGTTGTGGGGATAAGTCCATGCAGGCCAAACCAACATTTATTGCACCATTCACCCCCTACTGCATCAGGAACTATGATTGGTGAGTCGTGGTAATAGTAGGAGTTGTAAAGACTGTGGAGGTGGTTCTGACGAGCCCAAGATCGTCGGATTTGGTGGAGTAGTTGAGGAGATCTGACATTTTCTTTATTTTCTTTACTATTTTCATTCATTCACGCATGTGACTTTCCTTTTATATTTGTATCGGACTCTTCTGTGACAACTGCACAGGCAGTTAGTTAGAGTTACACAGAGTATCAGCACCATACTCCCAAGGACCCATACAACCTACCTGACTAGAGAGAGATACCTACCCCCCCCAGACCTGAGTTGCAAGTCTAGTGTCATATCCATCCATGGCCATCACCTCCGATCCTTCCAGATTACCTCCGCTCCTTCTTCACTAACCTTGGAGCCCCCATATTCCACAATCACCTCCAACTCCTTCGATGGTCACCACCCCCTCTTTTCAATATATTACCTACACCTCCCTAAGTATGGAGCCCCAAAGGCTTCTGGACAGCTCCGACGTCTGCTAGCGCACTCCTGCCCCCGCTGGGCAATTCACTTGCTTGCCCTGCAAGTCTACCTTCAGGCCTATCCCTCCTTTCTGTTTCTGGGTTATCACCTGCCATTCCACTAACCCTGTAACCTGACTCGTTGGTAATATTCAGTCAGCTAATGTTTAACTCCATTAGCTCCGCTCCGCTTGGTCCTGCCATTCACGGGCCCACCTCGTAACTATATATACTTAACTTGTAGATAGGTTACACCCCAGTGATAAAATCGACTAGAGTTGATCCCCCTTTTTAGTTCTCATTGCCAGTAAGTAAATTAGGGCACGGATGTGTAACTAGGCACAGCGCTCCTGGTCTGAGTCACTGAGGCTGAAGCCCTCCACCATGGAGACAACTCCTTCATCTCGCTTCTGGTCTCTAACATCTAGATTCATAGACCCATTACAACGATCCAGTCGATTCTGGTTCTAGTCATCAACTCTAGTTGTCGATTTCAGACGAGGGGTACAGGAAACTAAGTACAGAGTGTATATAATACAGGAGTGGAGTCAGAGAACAAAGGGAACTGGAAGGAGACAAAGGGGGACTGGATGAGGGAACAACCCCAAGGGTCAAGGGTTGGAACTCTATGGTGCTTCCTGTCATATCCTGGATCTTCTGCCTCCCTCTGCTCTATCCATACACGACTCCTAAGACCTCCACTAGCCCTCCCAATCTTTCTCTGCTACCTCTGGTCGACGCCAATGACCTTAGGACTACCTCCTCTTTTGATTCTCTCCTGCTCTGCCACCCACCTATGTCCGCATCACCTCTGGTCCTCCACCACCATGCCACCACCTCCTTGGACCCCTTGTTCAAAGGAGATGGGCTTGCTTGTTGTTGATGAATCCCAACTTGTCATTCCACCCTCCTTCCTATCTCCGGTCTCCACACCTCCGGTACCTCCTCATTCCTATATTACCTCCAGTCTTGATAATCTTATTGTTTTATCATTTGATATTTTCTACAACCCCAATCTTCCAGACTGCAACTTCCGGGCTCCAGACCTTTCCGGACATCTTTCTCTGTAGTTCCCTGCTTGTTCATAGACGTTTTCAGACCTTGCCATTCAGTTGGCTTTTATTTCTCTCACTCCACAAAACCTCAGACGTAATTTGGGCTTTTTACCTATTCCTATTTGTCTTGTGGACTTCTTTCTATTTACTTCCCCTTCCCCTTGGTAACCTTTGTTTACCTTTGGATCCAATTGTTTCTGCTATATGTATGCGCGTTGTAATGGGTCTATCAAACTAGACTCAAGACAGGAAGGAGGGGGGATAGGAATCTCACTGAGGGTCAGGTCTGAATGGGTATATTGGTCCAGTCGAGTCTGGCGCTGATAACTCTCTACCAAACTGTACAGCGGGTCCCGGAAGAGTCTGATACAAACATAAAAGGAAACTCACATGCGTGAATGAATGAAAATAGTAAGGAAAGTAAAGAACAAGTCATATCTCCTCAACCACTCCCCCGAATCTGACGATCTTAAACTCGTCAGAACCGCCTCTACAACCTCTACAACTCCTACTATTACCACAACTCACCAATCCTAGTCCCTGATGCAGTAGGGGGTGAAATGTGTGATAAGGGTTGGTTTGACCTGCACAGACTTGTCCCCACAACAGCATACCCCTCTAGTAAATAGTTCCCCCAGTTATAATATAAACAGTCTTCAGCCCTCCAAAACCTCTTCCAGGACATCTATCGCGTCCCACTTGTCTGCTGCTCCTAAGAACTGAGTAACAGGCGCTCCCAGTGACACCTTGGTATAACACCCAACAAATCACATGATGAACGATTGACCCTCGCTAACGCCTCCTCCGTTAAGTAGTGAGGGGGGGGCCTCCAGCCCCCTTCTGCTGGTGGCCTCAGTTCCTCCATCGCCAGCTCCCCTGACAAATGGGGACAATGAGAACGTACCGGGCACAGCGCTCCGTTCTGAGTCACTGAAGTCGAGTCCCTTCAACACCCCATCACTCCGCCCCACCTCTGGTCTGTCTCTGACCCACTATCGGACGACCTGGAACACCAAGCTCCACCTGACAGCATTGCCTGGATAGCGATCGACCTATCCTCTAAGGAAAGATGTTCCTGACACTTCCCAAAAGGGCAGGGCCAAGAGGGGAAGGAGTGGAGTGGGTTGTGGGGAATGACAGCTGACTAATATGGAAAGGAAGCAGCCATCTAAATAAGGAAGAAGCAACAAGAGGATTAAATGACACCATACAGTAGAGACTGCAGGGTCCAGAGTAAGTTCTGGAGGTCCGGAGTCAGAAGTCTAAGTCCAGAATATTGGCAAGACATAATAAATAAGGAATACAAGGAGATAAGATGGAGGAGGTCAAAGTCCGGAGGCGGAGACGTGACCGGAGTTCTGGAGGTGGAGGTACAATGGGGTTCCAGTACAGGAGTCTGGAGCCAGAGGTGCGGAGCATCACAAGCTCTGGTCTGGAAGGTACAAGGTTGGGATCGGACCTGGAGTAAACTGGAGTTGGACTGGAGGTGGTGTTGGACGTTGTGTTGGAGCCAGAGGTAGAGTGGGCTCTCAACAACCAACAGGGGGAGGTGGTGGTGGAGGATGTGGAGTTCTGGAGGAGGAGATGGAGGTCCAGAATCAGGAGCGGAGGTCTGGAGTTGTATGGATATGACACACTGAGCTCATGGAGCTCATAGAGCTTTTTGTTTTTAAATAATGGATGGTCTTCACATCTCCATGAAATCTGCTTAGTTGTTTTGGCACCAGTTGTCAGAAACGGTATTCAAAGTATTTGCAGGAAGTGGAGTGGAGTACTGCAGCATTGAAGGAGAGAACAAAGGAAGATCAGTTGGGTGTCAGGGCACAGCCCTTGACCCCACTCACCCTCAGACACCCTCACCCTTTCCCTAACCACCCTCTCCCCACATTTCCCCATTCCCCCTATCCTTCCCCCCACTGTTTCACACAATGATGCATGCATGCGAACCCGTGGGAACGTTCTGGGTGAGCGACTTGCCCAGAAATGCACAGCCACAGCTGTGGGAACTTTCTGGGAGAGTAACTTGCCCAGGACATGTGGCTGTGGGAACATTCTGGGTGAGCAGCTCACCCAGAACTTTCCCACAGGTCACACCCATTATGGAAAGTCGGCAGCAAGCAGGAACTGTAGGGTCCTTCTGTGTCAGCCTCACAGGGGGCTGAGAAGCTTACCCTTCTTCTCAGCTCATTCCCTGTGAAGGCTTAGGCTAGTCCCCTCAGCAACTTCGAGGAGTTAGCAGCCGGGGAGAGTACCCCAGCTTCCACACCCGGCCTGCCCTCCAGCCACTCCCAGCTGGGGTCCAGATCCTGACATTGGGAGGTTCAAACAAGACCACCACCAAGCTGTTCCCTGGTTCTTTAGTTAGGATGGGGAAGTGTACTAGTAAAATTGTTGTAATTATAGTACCAGTCCAAGTGTTTTGGCTAATTCTATTTTATGGGTTAGTAAAATCTCTGAGAAATGACTACAGATAAACAGAGCCCTGCAGAGCTGTTCCTCTATTGTAATTTCTCAATTTATCTGGGTGTAATTCTGTGTAGGATTGTTAAATTTGGATTTTAACCTGAATTAAATCTTCTACTTGGTGAATTTTCAAAGATTCTACTCAGTTAATGGGTTTAGATCGTGTCTGAAGTGTCCCTTGGCCTTGTCTTATTTTTATCTTATTTTTATTGCTTGTTTTAACAGTAGAGAAATAACTGTTTTGTGTTTACACTTTGAAATCTGGAGTGTTAACCAGCTCTCTGTTAGAACTGGGCGAGGGCAGATGATTCCGGAGGGG